TTGAGAGCCAAGGGCTCAAAGCGAGCTAGGCCCAAAATGATGTTCCTAAAATCGTCCTAAATGCTATCTAAGCCCTACCTTCTCTTTCTTGCTGGACTTGTTGGGCCATCCCATCTCACTCCCTGCCCCCCTTGAACACCCTACTGCAATTTCATTTCGCAGCGAGACAAGAGCTGGTGATCCATTTGAGGCCACTATGCCAAGCAAACTGCAAGGCCAAGTGGCGGGTTTTTCCATGTCTCAGCACGCTTTGAGAATGTACAATAAAATAAATATATAGAAATGCCAAGAAAAACATGAGCGCGCCCCCAGAAGACCAACTTCACCGTTGCAGCAAGTGCTTGGGATGACATGCGCAGACGTTCTCACAAACAAACAAACACTTCAAACCACTAGTTGTGGTTGGTTAAATTGTTGAAGACACACCCTAGCACATTGCAAATGGGATGGCGTGTTTTCAATTTTGGAACATTTATATATCCAATTTTTTACTTTTGTGTGATGTCCTGGAGATTTGCAACAAATATGTCAGAATTTTATTCGCGTGTGATGGCGGAATTTTTCAGGCAGTTCATCCTCCCCATCCGCCTTGCTTTTGGAAATCGTCGGCTTCGGCGCTTATGGCGGGGTCCAATTATATTTCCATTTAGCTGCTGTGCACAGTTCAAGGTATGTGGTTCACTGCAAACCATTGGTAGATTTTTCAAACGGTGCCTTCATTGGGAACCATCTACCATTTCTACGTTTGGCCGCATAGAATCATGTGAATTCAGTGGCTGGAACTTTGGTGGGTCACGGCGAGCATAGTTTTCGGCCATTTATGGACAAAACAACTTAGCTGGCCATGTTTTCATGTTCTACTGTCAGGTGTGCCGGATTCATGCTCATGCACCACGGCTGCAATAGATATGTTCCGAGCAGTAGCGTGCGCAACAACTCCAGTGTTTGAAAGGGGCGGCTTGACCAAAGTCTCAATTGTTGAGTCTTAATAAACTTGTGTTCAGCTGGTCAGGTCATACCTTTGAGCATTCAATTTCTTTGCAAATTGTTCTACATTGCAACTCTTTCCCTTTCAGCATCACCATCCACACAGAATGACGATTTGTCGCAAAGAGATATTTTTGACTACACCTTTTATGTGCCAAATGGAAGCAATGAGAGTGCATTGCAGGTTTTCTGGGCAGCTGGTGATGGACATTGGTGGGTTTGCCCCTCAAAGAGCGGCGAAGAAGAGATGTTGAGGAACAAGGAGGTTGTAGATGAAGAAACAAGAGATGAGAAAAGAAAGGCAAGAAAGTAGGGGCCCCTTTATCTTCGACAATGTGAAGGAGATTCGTGTCCTGAGATTGCCTAGGCAATACTTCAACCAATCAATGGATCTCATCCCTTACGGCACCAAGAACGAACTCACCACCGTTGCGAACTCAGTGAAGTCAGTACTGTAACAATAACCTGCCACCATGTCACCATGCCGGCGTTTGGTACAAAACCGGAGTTCAGGTTGCCGTGCTGACCATGATCCCAGGCATTTGGGGTCTGGCGTTGATCTGAAAACCCCAATGCAAGGGCCGGAGTTTGAAGTGAAGACCAGGACTGCACACTTCGGTTCTTGTGATCGTGATGGACATCAACTGTATGACGGTCTGTCTGTCATAATTGTATGAAAGTTTGTGTCAAAACCTAATCATCCTTGGTACGACATCTCATGCATTTTGTGTCTCATGAGTCTCATGAACACATCCTAGCTGGGGCAAAGCGGACATGTCTAATTCACGGGCTTTTATCCCTGCGAATGGAATCATTCCTCGGCGCCTTCATGAAGCTTTCAACGTGGTGAGCAGAAGAACTTTCGTTTCGCGCTGCGCCAGGGCAGCTCTTGGCGATCCCTGGAAATCTTGTGACCGGTTATCTCTCCAAGCGCCTGGACGCCTGGCACTGCTTTCATAAAGCAAATATGTAGACACCATGTAGTCCACCGAATGATGTTCTGTATTTTTTCTTTGACATTTTGTCTTCAAAACTTTGAAGGACGGGGGGACGTCCAAGACTTAAGGTAAGCCACGCACTCTCCCTCAGTAGATTCGCCGGCGCCAAGGTGGAGGGCCACTTTACCTTTTACGGCGCCTTGTGGGGGGGCCTGGCATGCCAGGCCTCCGCTGATCAGTTGTTTCTGAAAGGAACCCTGAGAGGATGTTGCTTTGTTGTAGCTTCATTCGGTTTAGCAAGCCCAGACGCTAATCTGACCTGGAATTCGAACTAAGCTTGTTCATGGAACAGGGGAGGCGGAACAATCGGGAGAGTAACGTCGTCTCAGCTACCATTGACAATCATTGATCACAAAGTGGTGAGAGAAGATCCATTTACGACTTACGACAGACAAAACTGACTCCTGAGGTTCCTATCGCTTCCATGCTGGTGACCTTGGGTGCCTTCATGGCGGAGGCAATTGCAATTGAGACTTCAAGACTGCGCATTGTGCAAGAGCTGTAGGAGCTTGAGAAGATGTTTGCCTGATCCATAAAGAGCCTCAGGTGAAGCAGTTCTGGTTCATCGCTTTGACGGCCGGAATCCTACCATGGTGCACAATTGACGTTCAGTCTTAAATGGATCATGGTTCAGTCTTCAGGTGATTTTCCTCAACTACGCGAGCTTGCCCAATGTCCCACTGATGCGCCTAGTTGCTGGGTGTGGACACCAAAAGATGGCAGTAAGAGAGGCACAAAGTTCAATGGCTAGATTTGGCGCAAAGGCAGGCCTAACCAGCTGTTGGCAAGCTTCAAGATCCAGTTCTCTTTTGGGTTATGTTCTACATGGGCCATGTGTTTTGGCTGTGTTGTCAAGTGGGTCACTCCCCCCCAAATTGCATCGCCAAAACGTATCCCTCTAGGCTTGCTCCTCCTGGTCGTGTGGGTGAGGCCAACGATGTCGCTGGAGGGTGGAGGGGCGTCAATAGGAAAGGGCCTGGATTGCAGAATTGACTTTGACATCATTTCCTCATGTTTTTCCTTCAAGTCTTCTCGTGTCTTTAAAGATAGACTTAAAGTTTCTTTTCGGGCTCTTCTTTCCTGTGCTTCAAGCCGGCAGTCTTTGACCGCCATCGGTATTGCTGCACAGCTGGCCAGCCTGATTGGCAACGCCAGAGCCCAAGATTGAGTCTCCAAACAGTTCATTGCCTGGAAGACTGGAGTGTGTTCTTTCAAGAATGTAGCAATGATGATCTCTTTCACTTGGTGCTTACTTCGATGAGCAGCTGGTCGCCACAAGGCGGCAGTGGTTTTCATCAACCACAAGTTGATGCAGACTGACATGGCCAATCCGCTCTGGCTGCCTGGCTGCAATAGCTTCTCTAACCCATCCCAGAGATATGAGGAAGCCTGTCATGAAAAAGTAATGAACGATGTGAATCATGACAAGCGAGCAAGGTATGAGGTCTGTGATGCCCATCCGACCGAAACACAGAAGAGTATGTCGAGCATACGATGTCAGGATTTACTATCCGATGTGCGGGACATTGACCCTCATGGCCATCCTACCGATCCAGGGGCAGGGGAGCTCAGGAAGGACTGCAGCAACCAGATGGCGGACGGCGGCAAACAAGTCTGACATGGCAACCACTTGGAACTCTCCGCTCTCGTCCAATTCCATGACGCTACTAGTAGCTTCTGGCATTGCTAATGAAATGTACTAGGAGCAATTAGCTGCTAGGAACGGCGAAGCTGAGGACTCCATATGGTGGCTGGGGTGCAGCCTCGGGCCTGCGCGAGGCACAGCATGTAGCGGTGTGACTCAGCTGCTTTCGACGCAAAGCCGGTTTGTTTGTGACTTAAACATGTGTATGTACAGTATATCACCGATCTGGGCTTTTGAAAAGGTCGAATGCTTCTCAGGCAGAACCTGTCAGGTAGGTCAGTTGGGAGATTTCGGCCTGACAGGATCAAATGGTTGCAATAGTCTATGCGCATGTTGCACAACAGCGCTGGCGCAAATTGGTGGCAAGATGCAAGGCGCTGGCAGACTACAACGGTCAATTCATTTTTGGATCTTTGTGAATGACATGATGCACTTTTACCCATGAGTGAGTCAGATTCTTGTATCTAAAGCTTACTTCCAGTCATCATTTGAATGCGTCTTTTACATTTGTATGTGTTTAATCGACAAATCCATCCAACGTTTCGAGAGACACTTCTATTCCAACTCTCAGCTTTTGCGCCAGGCTGCACGAGCGGCGAGCTGAAGGGATGCAGAGAAGCGTTGCCATTGAAGTTCAAAGTGTGACCTGTGCAAGGAAAAGAGAAGAGAAGAGAAGGTGGAATGTTCTCGAGTCAACAGCAACAACAGCAACAACAACAACAACAGCAACAGCAGAAGGTAAAAGGACAGGAAGAAGATGGATCGGAAGAAGTATAAACATGAAGAACGAGAAAGAACAAGGGCTCAGAGGGGCTCCTGGCATCGCTACTAGGAACAAGGACGCTACTAGGGGCTCCTGAGCAATCTCTGTCTTTCAGATCTTTCACGTCTCGCTTGCACCAAGTTTTACACTTGTCCTGCGAGCACAGCTCTTTCCGGAAACTTCTCAGGTTTTGGACTGTCAGAAGTGCTTGAATCCCTAGCGGCATGACTCAAAGGCACTGCCCAAAACCTGTTGAAGACTTGGACAGTCATGCCGAAACATTTGTTAAGATACGTTCTGTTCGGCGACCTGTCCTTGCGTGTACAGTGTCCACATTCTGGATGGCTCCAATGGATTTCATCCTGGATGCCCCTAGCTGGAAAACCAATGAACCATATAAGTGCCTTCTTTTCGCCCACTTTTGGCTTGGGAAGTGTTTTGGTTGCTTGCTCTTCTATTGTGTGTGTTGAACGTTCGTCTTCAGATCTGAAGACATGTCAACATTTTGCCAGCATTGCAATCCGCAATGACACATTCCGATTCTCTACTTCAGCTTGGCCTGTTTAGACAGGGAGCTTCTTTGTGTTGAAGGTATTCAAAAATCTGCAGACATTTTAGCAGAAGTGAGCAGACTTGACTCGACCTCAGCACAGGACAGACATTGCATGCGGGCGAGGATGTTCTTCGTTGAGAAACAAGAAGCATGGCGTTCTGGAAGTTTGTGGGGATATTCTTTGTCAGGAGCACGATGAGCCTTGTGGATGAGATTATCGTCCCCTGTTGCGCCATAGGCTTGAAGGGGGGCCTTGAATGTGGTGAATGCACTTTGTAGAGCCTCTCCTCTACCTCCATACCTCCAGTTCAGCCTGAAAGCAGTTTCAAAAGTTTCAAAGCAGATTTCTGGCACCACTGACAGGTCTCCTAGCAGCCTTTGCGCAGTTTTTGATCATTAGGCCGGCTGCGCAACTAAGTCCTAAGGTACTCAGACAAAAGCACTGACGCATTTTGATTCGTTTTGTTTCTAGTTTTTTCAAGGGTGGAGTGGCTTCGCATTGCTGTTGCAGGAAGATTTCTCTGACCCCAAACGGCCAGGCGGGTCTGGAGTCTTTTTTTTTTGAATGTCCAATTGAGTCCAATTATAGGCTTTGGCTTCAATTATATACCACTGATGCCCTCAAATCAAGATCAGAAAAGCATCAATAATAGTCAACTAGTCAATGATTGGCACATCGGAGAAGCAATATTTATTCGGGTCACTTCGCAACGACAACTGCCCGCACCATTGGCCCTTGGGGGTCCAAATATAGTTTCTTGTAATCACTCTAATCTCTAATCGCTCTATTTTTCGACCGCTGTGAAATCGTACAATATTGTATAGCTTTTTGTACATAATCACCCTAGTTTTCGACCAGCTTGACATTGTACATTGTTCAGGGGGGTCCAAATTATATCGTTGGATAAACGTTTTACACCTGAAACATGTACAATTTCCAGGGCATTGAAGAATAGAGCGATAATTCAAATCATGCACAACAACCATACGATTGCAACCAGCTGATGCATAATGAGAGATGTATTATGTAAGACAAAGACTGCTGAGAGGAGTCGCTTATTTGCCGTTAATGGGCCTGGTGATGCAACTGACGCATATGATTGAGAGATACATTGAGACGTAGGCTGTTCAGAGGAATCGTTTGTTTGCCTTCATGAACCTTGTGATACAAATGACGCAATAATAAGAGATTTAATAAGACACAAATCACATGCGAACGCCATATGTTTTTCAATGTTTTCTTCCACCCCCACTTCTCTCCCAGATACACTTCATGATGCAAGATATGCATCTTCGTTCCCAAACGAAAAATGCACCACCCCTAGCTAGAGTTATATAACGGTGAATGTGACCCAACAGAATAATGCCCCTCAGCACCTTCGGCGCGGGCGGATTTACAAAACAACCTTTTTGCAACAGACATGAGGTATGAGCTGTTCCGTCATTTGGTGCAGAATGTGAATGTTTCAGGACCTTTCCAAGAGCCTGACTTCAGGGGTTGCTTTTCAGACATAGAAGGGGGTTGAGGGCTGGCGGTTCTGTTCCAGGGAAGGAACCATGTTGTTGGATTGCACATTTGGATCTCACAGGTTGTTGGGCTCTGGAATAGACCACTTAACCCAAGCATGTGTGCAGTAGACTACAGTTAATGATCGGTGCATTCGCACGCGCCGATGTCTTTGGGTCTCAAAAGATGACTGTTGGCATGAGGCGATATCTTTTGGAGTTCAGACAACATCTTTAGATTTTTTCCTCCAACCTATATATATATAGTAGATACTCATCAAACTGCAGGCAATTCTGTGCAACAGTTCTGTGCAGCAAGGATCCTGACAAACACTTGAATATGTTAGCCATGTGATTTCCTGGAAGACTTGTTCCAAGAAGCTTCTTGTTACTAGTAAGGCACTTGTTACTAGAAGCGATGCACTTGCTCCTAGAAGCTTCTTGTTACTACTTCTTGGATTCTTGGAAATTCTTGGATATCCTTTGATTGTCACTATGTTACTGCCCAAGGATGCACCTGAGAAGTTGGTGCCAGAGATCTATGCCAAGCGACTGGGCTGGAGTTTCGTTGCACAGCCTTCAGCCACGAGCACCTGATTCAGCCTGATGTTAAACCCTCTGCTGTTGTTGTACAGATCAGGATCATGGATGGTGCCATCCAATTCATTAAGGCAGGGCGACGGGCACAGCCTTTCACGGCTCCATGTCTGCTAACTGTGCTAACTCATCTTGAAAGGATTCAACGCATTATGTAGGCCGCAGTGCGGCAATTCTGCAGGTGGAGTATGCAATTTGCTGCCTCTTTTGTGTGCTCTTCTCCGGGGTGATCTATGGCTTGGTGTCAAGATGCTCAGAGACTGTCACAGCCTAGTAACAGCGGTTGATGCATGCAGATAGGTAAGGCTGCTGAGATGCTTGCCATCCTGAGGTCCTGGGGAACCAAGAGCCACACCCAGGGTGCCCTCACAGCAGGTGCTTTCTTGACAGGCGCGGAAGATTGTTGCAGAGTTATATCAAACTATGAGGTGCTTCGATTTCTAAAGCACACGTGCACAAATTGTGGGACTGACATGGACTGATTAGAACTCACTCGATATCGGTTGGACCTCTGCGAGGTGCCTTCACCTCGATGTTGTGTGGTTTTTTTGGGCATGATGATCGCTACCTTCTCCAACGCGCGCACCACCTTGGCCTGCGCCCACAAGGGCTACACTGAGGGTTTCAACACCGCCTTCCGCGGCGGAAGTGTCATGGGCTACGCCCTTTGCTCTTTGGGAGTGTTCGTCCTGTGGGTTTTGCTGACCTTCTACCGCAAGGCTCAGGGGCTAAGAGGAGTTGGAACACTTTGACAATGTAACCGACAAAAGTCTGACGCTTTGAATCACAGGGTGAGACCCTCTGTATTCACCTCAAGATGCTTTCTGATAGGTCTACCCAGAAGCCGATGACTGGGAGATCCTTTTCGATTGCGCTGCTGGTTATGGACTTGGCGGCAGCACGGTGGCCATGTTTGGCCGTGTGGGTGGCGGCATCTACACCAAGGCTGCCGATGTGGGCGCTGACCTTGTGGGCAAGGCACCGAAGTGCGTCGATGTTCAATTGCAGCGTCGAATTGCGTAATTAGAATTCAGAACCAGAAGACACCTTGCAGCATTGCTGCTTTTCTGGCCTGTGACCGTATTTATATCAGATACCAAAAGATCGACTGAACATCGGAAGCAAAACCGAGCAACTGGGCCAGCTGGCCACTTAGCTGAGCCTCGGTTTGGACGTGCCTGCGAACTGACCGCAAGGTTGTTGCCGGCTTGGATGAGGACGATCCCAACAACCCTGCCACCATTGCCGACAACGTGCCCTGAACGGTTGTGCTGGGTGTTGGTGGAGACACTTTATTTCGTGGCCAACGTGTAGCATACTAGTAGCTTCTTGTTCCTGGTAGTAATGGCCTCCAACCTAATAGCGATGGCCTCCACCTAAGATAGGGTCCTTGTTACTTGTACTAGTAGCTTCTTGTTCCTAGTAGCATGCAGAACTACACGCAGTCGATGTGATTGCGAGCCTGTTTCGCAACCGTATCCGAGTCTTGTTCCAATCGCCGACGCTGCATTCGTTTTCACGGGCTTTTGGCCAGGTGGGCGACAACGTGGGCGACATTGCCGGCATGGGAGCAGACTTGTTCGGATCCTTTGCTGAGAGCACTTGCGCTGCGCCGGGCATCTCAGAGAGATTACAATTCAATTCAGGTCGATGGTTTTGGTCCATTTTCTTGTCAGACTGAATGCTCCATGTATGCTCACAAAAGCTATGCAGCTATTCTCTTCTTTCTTTCTTTGTTTCTTTCTTTCTTTCTTTCTTTCTTTCTCTCTTTCTCTCTTTCTCTTTTTCTCTCTCTTTCTTTTTTCTTTCTCTTCTTCTTCTTTGTCAGGCTGGTGATTGCTGCCGCAGCGGTTGAGGGCTCCAACAACACCTTGTCAGCTGCTGGCTGGGATGTCGCTTGAACACAACAGAATCCCATGACGCTTTTTCCAATGGATCCCTAGCATCACGTCGATGTAATGAGATGCCTGGAATACTGTATTATGTTAATTTTGTTGCATCAGGAGCAGCATTTCTTCGATGCTGTATTGGAATTAATCAACACGTACTTGTTTGGTTGTGGATGCTTCGCAGGGTTTCTTGGTTGCTACCTTTTAGTGGTGAGGCCATGCTCTTCCCAGTGGCCATCTCCGCTGCTGGCATTGTTTCTGGGTGTGAAGGATGGTGTCTTTCACACATCACAGACGACACATTGGCAAGCTACAGCAGCCATACTTGTATAATTTTAGGTCTTGAATCATCCACAAGGTCTATAAATACAATTGCTGTATTATATCTATACAAGGGCATTATGCAGGTTGGTCCTGAGGTGATTTGCATCCTTTGCGGCTTCTTCGCGACAAACATTTCTCCAGTCAAGGCACTGGATTTCAGCTGCACTTGGAACATCAAAGAATCACATGCTTTCTGCATTTTTTGAGCATCAATCCTCTAATGGCAGAGGGACACACTGTTGTTTTTTGTATTTTGTGCAATTATTGTTTTATTTGGATGACACCAGTTCCAAGAGATCTACTAAAGGTGGTGTAACATTGAACGTTTCTGAAGTAGCTGGTTGTTTGCCTCCGTGTGCTACATGCCGCGTGCTGCGTGGGCTTATTGAGACCCTTTTGCTTGCCCCTTTCCTGTCGAAGCACATACCATGTGGACTTTGTGACTTGGAGTGGCGAAGGTGGAAGCAGACATTGAGAAGGTCTTGAAGATCCAGATGGTCCTGACCGCAATTTTGATGCTTCCTGTGATCTACTACTTGGCTGTGCCTTGGTCTTGCAGACCAAAGCGTGAGCTATCCTGCGCCCTAGCTAGGAGCGAACTTCTAGTAGCGTGTTTACTCCCTTGCTTAATTTAATAGGTAGTAGGGTCCTGTAGCTGCTAGCTACCTCTAGCTACTACCTTCCTCCGCCTACTCCCTACTCCCCCCCCGGGCTTTAAACAAAAATATATATTGAAAATCAACTGTCCAACATGATGTGCTGAGGTGCTCCTGCTGCCAGAGCACTTCCGTCTTGAGGGCGTGCGCTTGACGGAGTCCGGACACCAGGCAAAGATCCACGGCAGCCCCTTCAAGGTGCGCAGACTGGGCTGCCAGGTCGTCTCTCATGAAGCGATGGCGAGGTCATACAGTAACGGTCCAGATGTCAAAGAATGACAATAGTGAGACTGGCGATGTTTCACATCTTTTTGCCTCATGAACAGGCTCCAAGTGATCTACTGTTGAGTCAGTGATGGGGCTTTGTTGTGCTGGTTGAGGCGTTCATTTGTGCTACAATGGGCTGCGTCGGTGGGCTCATCATCGGTCTAGTCACAGAGCAACTTTGATACTTGTAGCTGTGGAGTTTTTCGCGTGCTTCCTAATGGCACACCCAAGGCTATTCCAAAGAAAGCCGGCAAAAACTAAGGTACTTCACTTCTCACTCCTTCATCCCGACGCGCGAGTTGGCCTCCGCCTGCAAATTTGGCACTGCAGTGAACATCATCCAGGGTCTCCCGGCAAACAGGCGAAGCTACTAGTAACAAGTGATCGCTAGTAGTAACAGGTGCCTTACTAGTAGTAACAAGAAGCATGCAAATAAATGCAAATGCCATGCTAAGATATGGCAGATATGCAGGTTGGCCTTTTGAAAAAACGACGTGTTCATGAAAGGAATGGAGCATGGGAAATGTGGCCAGCGTGGACACTGACTGAGGTCTCGCATTGGGATATAAGAGCTGCATCGTCCCTGTCTTCGTGCTGTCTTCAGCAATTTTCGTCTCTTTCCAGCTTTGTGACTTGCGCCTCGGCACAGGGGTACCAAGACCCCTCACATTTTGAGGGTGCTGAGTCCTCCGTTTTGGCTCATTCTACTCTCTTCCCTTGGGAGAGGAATGTGTGAAATCGTGTTTTCGAACACACGTGTCAACTCTTTGTCTCAAAGGCCTTCCCAAGTTCGTGCTCTTTCAGCATGAAAACCGTCCACCAACTTGGTGGACTTCAGTTCATTCACGATTCTAGAAGCGACGGCCTCCAACCTAATAGCGATGGTGTTCATTCATGTTCATTCAAGATTCTAGAAATTCACGATGTCCGTTGCTCCATTCTTCTACAGTAACATGATTTCATTACATATGATTCATTCGTTTCCTTTCAGGGTGGGTTTGAAATTCTGCCAGATACAATCATTTTTGCCTTGGTTAGCCAACAGTTTGTTCACTCAAAACAGGTATGGCATTGCACTCGCCGCCCTGGGTATGTTGGCCACTCTCAGCTGCGGTTTGACGATCGATGGATTTGGTCCTATCAGTGACAATGCTGGTGGCATCGCTGTGACCTGGCGAAAAAACCAAGTGGCTCCTGAAACCGAAGTCCATTCAAAGAACTCGTTCAAACTTAGGACCCTGAAAGCGGACATATATTTTTATATAGTATATTATGTTTACTGTTGGCTTTGTTTAGTCTCCTGCTTTGAAGTGCACATTTCTCTTTTTGGTGTGTCAACGTCAACCTTTCTGTCCATTTGAGATTGTTTGTGCCTGCACTTGTTGTGTAGTGTATCTATTTGTTTGTCTGTCTGTTTGTCCGTTTGTGGGCACAGAATGGTTTCCTGAATTCTATAGTATTCCTCCAGCATCGGTTGAATCCTTTTGTGCCTGTTGTTTGTGGAAAGTTGGGCTGCTGGAGCATCTAAAGCACGTGGTAACTAGCTTCTGGATCTGATGTTCTTTTCACGACATGTCCGCCCTAAACGACGCACAAAGAATTGTTTGTTGAGTTTGCCTCTCTTCACATTTGGACTCCACTTGCGCCCAGTTGCCAAGGAGATGGCCCTCTTCAACCCAGAGGTGCGTCGCCGGACGGATGCACTCGATGCGGCTGGCAACACCACGGCAGCGATTGGAAAGGTGCCTTGGTTCAAATCCAAAGAACTGCAGGAAAGTTGCGGAGATTCTTTCTGAATCTGGATGTAAATGTACTATACATTACTATTCTTTTTTTTGCACAACTTGGCTCAGAGTCGAAGGCCAAGTCATGTGCTTCTCGACTATGATATTGTTCTGAAGCCATCCTCCGGCCTCCTTTTGCCATTCATTCGAGCTTTCTGCTCTCAGCAACGAGCTTTACTCCTAGGGTGGGATGCCTTCCTCTTTGCTATGGTAGTATTTGCAACCAGAATGCTTGTGCGACGCCAAACGGATCTTGAATCTCACACATGGATTCTTCCACTCCAGCCAAGTCTAGACCAATCTATATAGGTTGGAGGCCATCGCTATTGGGGTGGAGGCCATCGCGGTCGTATCCTTTCCTTCATCTCGATGTGGAGTCTCGATGCCACAGGGCTTCGCCATTGGCTCTGCCGCCTTGGTGTCCCTGGCTCTCTATGGCGCCTTTGTCATTCGCCTCCGGGTGAAGACTGGTGTGCCTTGGAGTCGAAGACGTGTGTTGCTTGCAGAAGAAACACAAGAGAGATTGAGAGCCTTCCTCACCTTTCCACATGAAGCTCTCCCACTTCTTTGTCTCTTTCCCCCAAAAAATAGTTATTGATGAAGCCAAAACTGTCAAGAAACTGTTCAGTTCTTTGTTCTGAGACCACTCAAAGAGTCTGTTCCAGGTGAACATCTTGGAGCCCACCACTTTCGTTGGATTCTCAGTTGGGCCAACTGGAACGGGGGAGAGAGAGAGAGACAGAGAATCAATTGGTTGGTAGGTGACACTGCCGGCATGGCCTGTCATTGGATAATTCTGATCAATCCTGAGACATTGCCGCGAAACCCACGTTACACTAAGGCATTCCTCATCATCGGCTGCATGATCCTTGTGAAATTTAATGGGTCGCAGTTGGGAATTTATGGTGAGTTGAAGAGAAAGCTCTGAGGAGTGTAAGCAAGACAGTGATGCACCGTTGCCCTAAGAGTTCTTCCAACAGGCCCAACTCCAACGAAGTAGGTTGGCCATCGCTACTAGGGTGGATGCGAGCAAGAAAGTGATGCTTGTTTGTTCTGAACTTTTCACACCGTGTTTTCCACAAAACGATACCAACGGTATAGGTCTCTAGATCATGCCACAGTGACTCCCTCCGGCATTGCCTCGTTCTGACGAATTGAGGATCCCCTACTGGTTTGCGGCCCTGACAATGAAGTCTGTTGGAAAGGCACGTTGACATGCTTTGCGAGAAAAAGAAGAAATCAGAATGCCTCTCCAAAGCATATGGGTGAATGAGTTTGATTTTCATGCCTCTCTGAAGCCCCAAAGTTCTGTATGCGAAGTGAATGCACTGAATGCAGTCCAGGCCGCTGGGGAGATGGTGGCCGAGGTGCAGAGGTTGCCTTGCAGCAAGTGGAATGGACTGATTTGAAAGAGCGCTTCCACCGTTCACAGAGCTTGGAATGGTTCTTCTAGAGCTTTTTACTGTTGCACCTGGGTGGTGCTTCATGTTTACAGCCGAGGCAGTTCAGCATGAAAGACTCCAAGGGAAAGACGCTCTTGACTGGCAGCACCGAGCTGAAGCCAGATTCCAAGACTTGCATTCAGATCTCCACCCAGGCACACAGGATTGAGATGGGACAGCTTTCCTAAAGACAACTACCACAATCATAGTAGCAGATAGTTGGACATGTGGGATGCTCATTCATCAAGAACCGGAACCAGCTGCACCAAGCTGATTGGATCCTTAAAGGGTCCTGAGAGATTGTCAGATCTTGTGTCTAGGCCAAACCGGGTCAAGACACCCTTGACACGTGTTGACTCTTCAAAACTTTTTAGATCAAAGAAGAACTCACGAAGAGTTTGAACGGTTGCAGCTGCTTTTTTTTTGTGGAGGCCTCCATCCGCGAGATGGTGGCGCCTGCCTGCCTGGTGATTTTGTCTCCTTTGGCCGCGGGAACCTTCTTCGGCATCCAGGCGGTCTTGTTACTAGTAGTAAAAATGCTCATAGTAGCGATGCCAGGAGCCCTAGTAGCATCCTTGCTCCTAGTAGTAAGGCCACCCTAATAGCTTCTTGTTCCTAGTAGCTATTTGCTCCTAGTAGTAATGCCCTCGTTATTAGTAGCGATGCCAGGAGCCCCTAGTAGCTTCTTGTTATTAGTAGCGATGCCAGGCGGCCTTCGGTTTGCTGACTGGATCTCTGGGATCTTCGGTGCAGCTGGCCATCTCCATGTCCAACTCGGGCGGTGCCTGGGACAACTGTGTCTTGGCGAACACTCCGACTGAAGGGGAGAAAGACGAGACTTAGGGGGGTATTCATGGGGATTCAAAATTCAACAAATTGTGTGTGTGTGCATTAAAGTAGGTAGACCTCCCAGGCAAACACCAAGAAGGACAATGAGAAATATTGCCAAAACCTGGTTGGGTGTCTCCCTATTAAACTAAACGAAGGACTTCGATGTTGTACAGACATGTGGCCATTTCATGCGCGCTGAAGAACACTCGCCAGATTTACTGTCAAGCAGGTATGTCCAGCAGAGATTGCAGGTGTTTGAGCAGTGAGTGATGGTTGGGAAGAAAAACAAGCCGAGCAAGGCATGTCAAGCCAAAGAGTGCGACCCAATCGACAGGTCCTCCCATTTTTCTTGCTGTGTATTGCGCTATTGCGCTGTTGGTCTTTCTCGCACATCTCTCGGTGCCCCCCAAACAGCCAGCAGTGTGGGCCACTGGCCAAAGATATCCAAAGAGCATGAAGCAAGGCATTGACCCCCAACACCCCAGATACTGCAAGAAGCATGTGCAGCCATGTCATGCTGCTAAGGCAAGAAGTTCATCAAGAACGGCTTCTCCGATGACGTGGAGCTGCTTGGCATTGGACATTAGAGGACGGCATGAAAGAAAAACCAAAAGCATCCAAAAGCGCAGGGAATGCGTCTTTATTAGGTGGATGCGTTAATGAACTTGTATTCAAAGGCTGCGCTACACCAAGAACCCCCAGACGGAGGAGGAGAAGAAGGCTGCCCCCAAGGCAGGAACTTATCACTGTCAGCTTGGTTCAAGTGTTTTGCAAGTGCTCCAAGATCCTCAAGGATGGCAGCGATTTTTCTCTGAACTTCAACACAAAAAAGCGAACACGTGCAGTTCAAGCCTTGACAACCATTTACCATTTTGAGTGGTACCGGTGTTGTCTCGAGTTTGAGTAGTACAGCATGCGTCATGAGTTGAATCCAACCCTCCAATGAGCCAACCCCCGCAGCGATGTAGGCCAAGGAGGCCCATGATGCAGCGGTGCAGGGAGACACTGTGGGTGATCCCTTCAAGGACAATCGAACGATGACAGGGGGTACTGTGCACGATGGTCTACGACGAGTCTACGATGATCTACCGAGCATTCATAATTAATTAGTCATAGATTGATAGATGACCTGCTCAATTCTCTTCATTCTCGGGATGCACCCTGAGGCTTAGGCTTGGCATGGCTTGACTTTTGTTGCACTGTTTTGCGTGCAGCACAATGACATGAACGCGCTGCCAATTTCATTTACATTTCCTGAGCTTGAACTAGCCTTTGAGTGTTTTGTTCAATAGTCTCGCTTGATAGCACGCAGTTGGAACTCTGTAGTACAGACGTCATCTGGGGAGTAAGTTCCGGGAGATCTGGGGTCAGAAGTGGTATGCGGTGCAGCGAAGTTACATCCGTGATGTCGCTGTGCCATGTGGTTTGGCGCAGCCTCGGGGGGGAAGTGCATCTGAGTGGCTCCGTGCCATTTCGGGAACGGGACACATGCGTGGGCGTGCCACACGAGTCTCTTGCAAGAGTGTCCCTCGAGAGTGCCCAGAAGAGTGCCCGACAAGAGTGCCCTTTAAGAATGTCCTACAACCGTGCCGCACAAGAAGGCTCACAAGAGTGTCCCGGCCCGTAACACTGTCCTACAAGAGTGTTGCTGCAAGAGTGCTCCAGAAGACTGTCCTACACGAGTGGCCTGCAAGGGTGGCCCACAAGATCCCACAAGAATGTCCTACAAGAGGGGCTTGCAAGAGTGCTCCAATCCAGCGGATGTATCAGAATGATCAAGCTTCTTCGCTGCTTCTCACTGGTCATTGGCCTGTGCTATTTATATAGGCAAGTTCTAGTAGTACTTTCTCACTGTGTGAGGACACCTCGGGACCTGCCCTGAACATTGTTATGAAGCTTCAGGCAGGTTTTCGATGTTGTCAAATTGTACAAGCATAACACTTGCCTTTCAGGCCATTGTCTCTCTGGTCTTCGCGGCGTACTTTGCAGCCATCAATCATGGCCATGGATTGATTCAGGTTCAGTAGGTAGCTAGCACTGGCAGCGCTTCAGCTTGAGCTTGCGCAAGTATCACCAGTGGTGACATCGCGCCTTGGCGTCCGGAGCAGACTTGACGAAGACGAACACTTCAGTCAGTGTCAGGTCTTGGCCGTTCCAGGCGAGGTTTGGTGGCAGACACGGTTTCCAATGCAACGACGCAGCATTGTAGCCTCATCATATTCCCCTTGTCCACTTGTGGTAAGAGGCTGTTGAAGCTGGTAGGCATACATTTGCATCACAGGGTTGTTGCGGTATGCAGTTCTTAATCCCTTTGTGCATGTTTATTCGGCTAAAATAGACGAGACACCGGTGTACAATTGCTACGCCTCCAAAAAAGTGCAAAAATCATCACAAAGGTTTGTCCCATTGCTTTTTTAAGATCAAAGACACAAGTTATCATAAATCCAACATATCGGAACGCCTCTTTTATACTGCAAGACACCTCCTTTAAAGACTGCCTTCACAAAGAGTTCTACTGCAGTTTATACACACATTTGCAATTTTAAAGGTCCGAATGTATTTTCATGTAGTTTTCTTGCACTGCATTTGTATACGTAATTGTTCAATGTGTGTTTTTTGCCCCCCCTTTTGTCGGGGCCTAACCTTGATGGTTTTCTTTGTGCATTTTCAGAAGGTTTTCCTCCTGCAAAAAGCATTCCTGTTTGCTAAGTCTGCTAAGTTTAACTTTCCTTGGTAGAGACACCTCCACAAGCGGAAAAAAACCTCCAGAATGGTCAGAAACCTGTGTGGTTACTTCAGCTTTTGCAGGGAGCAAATATGTTGCAGGGAACAATGGATATAACAAAAAAACACATGAGTAGTCTGCGTACTAGTGCATATGATATTCTTCAATTGAATATGCAATAATTACTACTTGAGAGTACTTGATATATTTTCTTCAGCTGAGGTTAGCGCGCAAGGGTCCAGGGGGGCCCCTCAGGGGGTAGAGAGGTCCCAAAATCTACATCCAAAAAGCATACCCAAAGAATATGAAACAACAATCAGCTATATAAAGACCCAAGACACTGTCAACAACCAATAATATTGCTGGGATAATTTCAATTCCTTTTTTTTGGGACCACACACGCAATCACATATTATATACTGTAATTTATATAATCATATATATATATATATGTAGGCCTTCGATGTACTTGTCAAACCTAATTTGTATTGATAATTTCGGCTTGTGCGGAATTCATGTACCTGCACACCTTTGGGGCTGCAAGAGTCTACTGTAAGAAAAATGTATAAAATCGAGCTATCATGCCCTAGGAGCAGTATATTGAGCCAATCCGAGACCGTTGAGGATGCGACGGTTTGAAGGATAATTGTTTTCAGTTTGCCAAATTCATCGTCTGGACTGGACTTTATTTCAGCAGAGACCCAGGCCCTCGGTTATGCTCATAGACTCTGTCATACACTATCTCAATTCATTCTGATTGATCGTTTTTTCTGGAATAGGCATAGCTGGCTCAACTCAACTCTTGGACCCAGAGATCCAGCGATTGGCTGGAACTGGGATGGCGGCCGGCCAGAAACTTGTGGTTTTCTCCGTTGGTAGAAATAGACGATGTTTGACTAGTCTGGACTCAAGACTGGTCAGAAATCTAACTCAATGTCTTTTCTTGGTTCGATTCGACATATTTCCGCCCAAGTTAGACAACCACTAGGCCTTCAAAAGTGCCCTTGAACCGTGGTGAACTAGTGAACGATTTTTCTGCACTTTGCCTAGAAAAACAAATGAAGCTAGTAGTAACAGGTGCCTTACTAGTAGTAACAAGAAGCTAGTAGAAACAAGTGCATCGCTACTAGTAACAAGTGCCTTACTAGTAGTAACAAGAAGCTAGTAGAAACAAGTGCCACGCTAATGAAGCTGATATGATTTCTTCAGAGGCAACACGCCACTTGGGGCACTTTTGCCCTGATGGAGTGTGCTCGGCAAGAGCGGCATCTCCCCCGGGGTATTCTCGGATTGTGAGAAGTCGAGGCCCAATCCGAAGCCTTCATCCTCGATTGCTGACAGTAACAAGGGCATCGCTACTAGTAATAAAGGGCATCACTACTAGTAGCATTCTTACTACTAGGAGCAAGAAGCTTCATTGTGTTGATCTCTCTCTCTCTCTCTGCCACTCTGCTATGTTGTAGTTGGATGTTGGAATCATTGAAGAACTGAAAGTGATAGTGAGAGCAGTCGAACTAGAAAGCTTTGGCTTGTGACAAAGAGACCTGTGCCGGGCAAAAGACCACGATGCTCAACTCAGTGCGGCAGGATGAGAGCCACGTGGCAGAGGTTGCTAGTCACTTTCCCTGTTGGCATGGGTCACGCCGGGGTTTCCGATGCTAGCGAAGCAGAGAGACTTCAATGGGAACTTTTGCAGACTTGAAGACTTTGTGTGACTCTCTTTGTTTCCTTTTTTTGCTTGGCTGCATGCACACAGACAAGGATGCACAACAGAGGGAGAAAGATAGTGTAGTGGCTCAAGTTGTACACACCGAAATCAGGAAGCTTGAGACTTGAGACACACATACACAACACTCCGTACATTTTGTTGCAGGTTGCTGATGATACCGCACTCAACAGAGCCGTCCCTTTAGATATTGTCATGGAAGCATTCTTTCTACAGCTGGGGGGGCTTCCACAGCGTCAGTATCCATATCGCTCGTTCTATAGCCAACAAATGTGCGCTTTTGGCGATGCCATCTCCTGCTCCCGTGCCAGGGAAGCTGGGGTCACAGTCCATGACTTCACAGAGAGACATCGAGTCCACGTTTGGCTGTGCGGCTTTTTCCAATTTGAACCAATCATTAGAAGCGTGAGCTATCCTGCGTCCAGCAGCTAGGAGCTCCCTTACTTATTTAAGTAGGCAAGTAGGCAGTAGGCGCCTACTTACTTTAGTAGGGAGAGCGGGCTTTTAAAACATGCAGATCTTATGAGTTCTGACTTACTTCCGGTTCATCCTCTCCAATTCCAGTTGTGAACATGCTGTGTTTTTGCAATTTCCCTAAGAGGTTGCTCGATGTCTTCCTGTTTCCGGCGCCCACGCCGTTGGTGGCTGAGCTGAGAAGCAGCAAGTCGGACATGGTCAATCCTTTTGCTCCTGCGAATCATATTGAGAATCTTGTGGATCCATGCTGTGCCTTTCTCCTGCAGCCCAAAGGAGCTACACCAGCGAAAGCTTTCCAGGCGTTCGGGGGAATGTGGTCTTCTATGCCATGTCAAGATGAGAGAGTGATAGATTATTGGATACTCATACTCCCTCTCACTCTCACACTCTCTCTCTCTCTCTCTCTTTCTCTCTGTGCCTTCCACACAGCATCTCTAGCTTCATTGCGAGGGCTTATTGAGCTGGTTTGATTTTTCAAGATTCTTCAAGCAATTATTTGCAGCTTGAAGCTGTGGTCAGGCGAGTTGGTGTGGATCCCACGCAGAATACAACCAGGCCGTCTCGGGAGAGTGGGGCCTTTGGAGTTCGCGCAGTTCGAACGATCGCTATTAGTAACTATTAGTAGCTCCTGGCATCGCTACTAGGAGCAAGGACGCTACTAGTAGCTCCTGGCGTTACTACTAGTAGCAAGAAGCTACTAGGAGCAAAGGACATCGCTACTAGTACTTTCCTATTGCAAAGCCTTGGAGTTCGCTCGAGAGGTGCAGCTCGGACTGGTCAAATGACCCAAGGTCCCAAGCCTCGAGCAGGGCCGTTGTTCCGTTCGTTCTACGACAATTCTTCTCACCAGTAAAAAGAAATTCCTATGGTGGCCTGAACTTTTGGCCAGACTGCCCAAGTTTCAAATCGACTTTAATTTGGTGTCAACCAATCCCCTTGCTTTCCTTATCTTTCCTTGCTGCGTAAAAGAACGTTTTGCTTCTAGAATGCTTTGAAGGATTTGCACCAGAGCCGTTTGCCCGACCATACGGCAATCGAGTCACAGCCGTTCAATTCATTGTTCAGATAAGCATAATAAAAGGACCGGATAACCCCACATATTAAGCTTGTAAGAACTATCAACGAGAAGTAGAGACTGATAAGAAAAGAAGACGGAAAGATACTGTACGATAAAAGTGAATGAGATGAGTGGTGTGTGATGAGTGGTGTAAAATGTGTCGTGCGTGATGAGTGGTGTGTGAGGAGTGGTGTAAGATGTGTGGTGTATGATGAGTGGTGTGAGCTGAGTGGTGTGAGATGAGTGGTGTGTGACGAGTGGTGTGAGATGAGTGGTGTGAGATGAGTGGCGTGTGATGAGTGGCGTAAGATGAGTGGTGTGTGATGAGTGGTGTGAGATGAGTGGTGTGTGATGAGTGGTGTGTGATGGGTGGTGTGTGATGAGTGGTGTGTGCTGAGTGGTGTAAGATGAGTGGTGTGTGATCAGTGGTGTGTGAAGAGTGGTGTAAGGTGAGTGGTGTAAGATCAGTGGTATAAGATGAGTGGTGTAAGATGAGTGGTGTAAGATGAGTGGTGTGTGATGAGTGGTGTAAGATGAGTGGTGTCTGATGAGTGGTGTGTGCTGAGTGGTGTAAGGTGAGTGGTGTGTGATGAGTGGTGGGTGATGAGTGGTGTAAGATGAGTGGTGTAAGATGAGTGGTGTGTGATGAGTGGTGTGTGATGAGTGGTGTAAGATGAGTGGTGTAAGATGAGTGGTGTGTGATGAGTGGCGTGTGATGAGTGGTGTGTGATGAGTGGTGTGTGATGAGCGGTGTGTGATGAGTGGTGTGTGATGAGTGGTGTGTGATGAGTGGTGTGAGATGAGTGGTATGTGATGACTGGTGTGTGATGAGTGGTGTGTGATGAGTGGTGTGTGATGAGTGGTGTGTGATGAGTGGTGTAAGATGAGTGGTGTGCGCGGTGTGAGATGAGTGGTGTGTGATGAGTGGTGTAAGATGAGGGGTGTGTGAACCAGCGCTGTGTGATGAGTGGTGTGTGATGAGCGGTGTGCCCACACGTCCACCCCGTCCTCCTGCAGGCTCTGTGTACTACGCCTGCCGCGAAATCTGCACTTCAGGTTCACCAAGCGGTGCCTGCCACGAAATCTGCACTCCAGGTTCATCAAGTGCTGCGCCTGCTACGAAATCTACACGACAGGCAGCCGCGGGCCAGCGGCGACCACGCGTCCACCCAGTTCCTCCTGCAGGGTGTGTGTAGTGCGCCTGCCACAAATTCTGCGCTCTAGGTTCATGAAGTGCTGTGCCTGCGGCAAAATCTGCACTCCAGGTTCACCATGCGCCGTGCCTGCCACGACTCCACCGGCTGCAGGCTCTGCGCACTGCGCCTGCCACGAAATCTGCGCGACAGGCAGCCACGGCCCAGCGGCGACCACGCGTCCACCCAGTCCTCCTGCAGGCTCTGTGT